CGGAGTCTATGGTATGTATGTAGCTTTGTGATTTGACCTAATTTGTTGAATTGATGGCCATTTTGTCTAAAATTTGAAAATCACAGTCAGTAAACATGTCCATAACTGTTTCTGTTTGTCAAGTTAAATTTCCGCAGTGATTTTTTAAGTAGCATAAAGTTATAAGAAATAATAATTAAATGTTTAACATACTCTCTGTGCCTTTATGTTTCAGATGGGAAAAGAACTGTTCAGTAATCTTGACATTGGTGAGAGAAAGGAGAAACTAAACGCCATGGTGAGAACTGAAACCTTTCAATAGACCATTTTCCGTTCACTGCGAGAATCACGCGTTATGCGTGAAATCGAACGTAAAAACAGGACAAACAAAGGTCATAGCATCGTAGTGGCGTCAAACATCGCGTGGGATTCGACAAACGCGAAAGTATTTCGGGGACATTTCCATGCTTAATGATGTGCTGTCCACATTTGATGATAGGCAATTTCGATTAAGTAAGGGTATTCGGAAGCAATATTCCTCTGTCGAAGATCGGCCGGTCAATGTAAGCTACGAAATAAAGAAATTCTAGTTCAAAATCAAATCGTTCGATTTTTGCGGCAGACGTTCGACGCGAGTCTTTTATGCATCTCGCGAGATCTCGCAATTGTACGGAAAATCACCTATTGGCTGTGTATCACTGCAAACAGTGTGATTGAGGAAAAAATAGAAATGCAAACAAATGTCCTCTTTCACAGTAGAAACTTCTAGTGTGGAGTTATAGCATAGTTGGGCGTATGTATGGTATTGACTGTTAAAAACTTTAAATACTTAAAACCATTTACCGACTGAAATATTCAAATTTTGACTTCCATTCCAGATTAGTAAGCTGCAAATGGAAATTGACCAGGAGTCAGAATCCAGAACTGACCTATACAGAGAGGAAAAACAGTCCACAGACCTGCTTGAAAAGAAACGTATATCAGCAAGAATGGAGAAAAGCGATGAACGTTTACAAGCCTTAGCATTACTAATGTTACACTACTGTGCTGGTTTGCATGACTGCACAGAGCAGGAAGAGAGATTGATCAAAAAAGAGAAAAGATCTCGTGCTTCTTTAGAATGCACTGCGGATGATGATGTTTTCAAAACAGCTCCGAGGACTGTAACCCCGTCCATCAATCCTGGTGCTGTTAAAAAACTAACTTTTCGATCAAAATCAAAGGAGGACAGTTTTAACATGAAGGATGCCAAGAATGAGGTTGAGGCAGATAAAAACAAGGTCCCATCAATGGAAGTGGTTGCCGTGGAAGAAGATGTAGAGGGCAGTCAGGAAATGGAGCAGAATGTGACAGAAGAAACAATTGAAGAGAACACTGCTGTAAAAGATAGAGTTGAAACAGAATATGTTGTTGACAATGACGCCACCTGGAATGATGTTGTGGTGTCTGAGGGACAGGAGGCATCGAGAGAGCAGGAGGTAATTGAGGGGCAGGAGGTATCTGAGCAGAGCGGCATGGTGGAAGATGAGGAGGAGGAGGAAGAAGAGGAAGAAGAAGAAGAAGATGACGAGGAAACTAAAATGTTAAATCTAGAGATAGCTGTCGAAGAAGCTTTGTTGCACCAGGAGCAAGAAATGGTTGATGATAATGAAGAGAGAGAATACATTGATACACGGTTAGACGATGTGGACAGTGATAAGAGGTTGGACGCTGTGGACAGTGATTAGAAGAGACAAACTGTTTTGATTACTTAGCAATTAATTTATGTGCTCGGTTTTAAAATTATTTTTATTTTGTCTGTACATGGACATGATGTTGATTGATTTTATAATTTATTAATTTGATTATTAACAATTGTAATTGATTATGTATTGCTGTGGTCTTGCCATTCTGTAAAATACCCAGGCAGATTTAGGGGATTGTTGTTACACTCCTCTCAGACATTAAATTATTAATTTGTATATTTATAATAATGCTAGATTGTGTGATTAACTGACTGCAATATCTTCTCATATCATTTATGTCAATTTTTGTTTATTGGGTCCATTGCGTTTGAGGCCCATGGTATGCATGTCCTATATAGGACCTATTCAAAGTAGTCCCTCGGCTACATTCTATTTTTGTCTGTGTATTGAATAATTATTCTGTAATTATGATCATAATTAATATATTGTTAGCAGTATATCAATTGGAACCAGATGTACATTGTACCTGTATAATTTTACTCATCTTTGATAAAAAATAATATTTCCTAATTTTGTTAATGTTAATTTTCAAAAAATCCAATGTTCAGAGAAGTCTTTTTTTAGTTTGTGCTATACATTGATTGTTTTTCCAAATTATTTGATCAATGCTTTTTCTTAATTTTGAGGGTCAACTTGGTTCTGTACTGAAATATCACATTAATGTAGCGTCTGCTTCATTTTCATTTGCTGTTAATTAAATAGAATTCATAATTGAACTTATACAATATTGTACTTAACACAATGATGATTTCTCTTGGCTTCACCAGTATATTCTGTGTATGTAGTCGTTTTTCCCACCGTTAATTAAAAAGCAATATATCTTTTAGTCTTGTCATCTTATTGGGTTTGATTGAAGGGTATGTCTATTGTAGTATAGTTGTTTTTATAATTACTTTTCACATGTACTTAGAATTCCTATTTACATAAGTCTTCAGAGGAAGAGATGTAATGTATTTTCATTTACCAGAGTTAACTGGCCACAAGTGGGACACTGGGTATACATACTTAAATGGAAGCTTCTTGTATCAGTGATGTATGATAGTTTCTGCCATGTTTTCCATTTTAAATCTTGCTACATTTCATGTCTATTGCACATACAATGGTGATTATAGTTATTATGACTGAGCACACACACTATCTTTAGTTGAGAAATAGTGGGCAAAAATGTTCCAAATCCTTATGTGGGGCTCGGCTCTATTTATTCAAGTTTTCTATGTAGGTTAAACACTCATACCATTTAAGTCTTTTCTCATGCATTTTACCTTGACTCTATCCAGGATGTTTTTTAGTTGTATCATTTACTTAAGGTCAGTAGTTAATTAGTTGAGGTAGTAGTAAATTTATAATGATCGATTGTAAAGTCCAATGTTGAGTACATACAGAGTGATATTGTTATAATGTATTATACAGATATGTTATAAATGTATGGCAATACTTATAACGGATACATACATGTATATCATACATACTATACTTCAAAGATCACATATGAAGTTTGGTGAATTTCAAGTATTTAAAATAGCATTATGATGATGTCATAGTAATGACAGTGATGTTGTCACGGTATCGTGGTAGGTTTGTTTTACTTGATTTGTCATATGGTGCCATGTGTACAGCAATGTGAGTATAATAAACTGATGCAATAATTTCTTATCTGGTGTGAGTTTGTGCTTACAAACATGCATTTGGTTGTCGCATGACTATTTACTAAGTTTTGTTAGTTGTATAACTAATTTTATCAGAATGATGTGCAGTTTGGATCATCTGCTTCTAGACCCAGATATCGACATTATCAGGTGCCCTCATAAATTACTACGTATATATGGAAGAAGCCATATTGAATCCTCAACAAACGATGGAAAATAAAGATTAGTACGTTCCATGGTATTTTACAAACTGCTGCAATAATCACATTAAGATATCTCCAAAATGTGACGTGATCTTGAGACAAACTTTCCTTGAAAGATCCTGACGAAGCATGCTTGACAGCAAAAGTCATTTTATTAGAATAGTCCAAAAATAAAAAAATAAACTGTAAATTATGATTTCTATCATTAATATATGTACACTTCAAACCATATCAATTTGTGTTACATGTATATTACTTAGATGTATAAAGAAAGTTTGAAATCATTTTCTGTGATTGTGATATTAAATGACAGCATAGTGAAAATCGTGATCGAAGTGCATAGCTTATTGAACAAGTTGGTAATTATTGTGTTTATCATTTCTCAACATTATATTTACAAACTGCTTCATAAATTACCATCCAGAGGATGGAATGCTGCTTTACGTGCCACCACACCTTACTTTATTTCATTATAACAATCATAGTCCATGACACAATGTTTTGTTATCAAACCATTTTATTCCCAACCAAAACCATTCTTAATTTATTGCATCTTCTAAAAACAGAAAATGTCAACTAAATAAAAAATAAGTTTTTTATATTTTTTTGTTTGTTATGTTCTATATTTCCAAATTGAAATTAAATCACCCCAACTCATAAGTTAAATAAAAGATTTCTAATACTCGCCCAAGAGGGCACTGTTTTGAACTACAGTATGGTACACCATTTAAAGCTGTTTTCCCTGATTTGTTAAAATAATAAATTGGGTCATTCTTGTTAATTTATACCACTTCAATGAAAATTAATTTAAATAAAATAATTTTTAGTTCTCTCAAAAGAAAGAAAAGCCAATCAACAGGTATCCCAGTAATCAAATAAGATTGTTTATTATTTGTATGGGAAAGAACACCACAATCATCACGCTGCATGTTTGGTGTCGGGTACTATCACAACCTATCAAACTTAAAAAGGCAATCAAGGCTTGGAACAGGCATAACCCACACCTTTTCATCAGCCACAAACAACTTTACAGTTGTATGAATCTAATTTGGATAGACATCTTTAAGTTGTAATGTTGCTTAAATTTCTTTTTAATCCCCTCTTCCCTGTCTTCCTGTTTTTAAAATAAAAATGGGTTAAAATTGTTGTTGAAAAACTATATGCAGCAAGACTACTGCAGTCCTTTAAATTTATGAGAATATCTCCCAATTTTTAGATTTGTGAACGAAAAATGGATGTTTACATTTTTTCAAAAATAGAACTATTACAATGTTATGGTAGTAGCCTGTTCCAATAACCCAGTGTTCGTATTGAATTTAGATGCCAATTCTCATTCTCAAAATGTTGTATATGAACAATATGGGAAAGTATTTTTGATGTCTTTATATTTTATAACATCTTGCAAAACAGCTTGTCATTCAAATTTAATGACAAATATGATTATATGCTTAATTAAACAAATAAAAAAAAACAACAGTGAAAGAATAAAATGCATAAAGAGGCATATAAATTGATGCAGTAATGATCAGTGTTTATCACCATTTACACCTACCAATATTTCTCTGACTCAGTACCAACTCAAATTACCAATTCCTCCAAAAAAAGACTTTTCAAGAATAAAAGACAAAATCACTATTAGTTATATATGTGTTTTCCTGAATGCAGTAGTAAGAAAACTGAATGAAATCAAAACATATATGCTATGTTCACACATCAGCATTCTATCAGAGCCGAACTACTTCTCCTCCCACGGATTAACAGGAGAATATCTCCAATGCGTTCATACGGTCGGGAGTCGAACCAGAGCCGAGATCTGCCAGAGTTTGATTCAGTTCGATCAGAGTCGAACGGAACAGTGTCCTTGAATAATTAGTGACTGAAAACCATTTTAGTGTTGTGCTTTTTCTTTACATTGGCATGATGCTGTTGAGCTAGGAGAAAAAAGAGCCTGAGCATGGAGGTAGAAAAGACAATGACTGGTATTTAGGTACTAGTATCTCGAATAAACAGGAAACACGGCAGCTAAAATGCGTTTAACACAGCCTATTCGCTCAAGTTATTGTCATGCAAAATTACCATTTTGTAACTATTCAACTGTAGTGATATCTAAACTACTAGGAAGAATCACAGATTCTGTCTATCTATCATAGAGAAACTATGGAAGAATCTAAACCTATCGGAGTTCAACTCCGAGGGTTTAGTGGAGCCGAAC